GAGTGCTACAGTGAGGATTTCCATAGATTGTGAGAATTTCATCAGTGGGAAAACGTAGTAACAAGATTTGGATTAGATTTACAACAGGAGTAGAGCTTTCTCTTTATTGATTATTTTCAGTCTTTTTCAAAAGAATTTTCCTGGGATTTCAGAAAAATTCAATGAAAAGATATTATTATTTACTTATGGATGGAAACGGCTCTCTTATCCAGCTAAAAAATATGTAATGAAATTTGGCATTACTTAATATGGGAAATATTTTGAAGGTATCTCCCTAAAATATTGTCTAGCTTTCAAATATAAAGCATTCTTTTCCTAAAATGTCTTGAGTCTGAGGTATCTCTTTCATTTATCATCAGACAAATGCTTCTAAAAAGCTTAAGATTGGAAGCTAACTAATCTGAAGCAAAAGAAGAGAGACTTAGATATACTAAAAGTGAAAGAAAGTTATTCCGTAGTATCTGTTTTTAGGATACTCATTGAATACGAAAATCTGAAAATACTCAAATCTTTTATATAAAATGATATATTTAGTATTTACTTCTAATGCCTAATACAATGGAAATGCTATGTAAATATTTGTTGCATTATATTGTTTTCGGGGATAATGGTAATGAAACTGTACATGTTCAGTTCAGATGCCAGTTTTTCAAAGATATTTTCAATGCACACTTGGTTGGATATGCAGATTTGGAATTGGTGGACATTAAGGCCCCTGATGTCTCTCTGCTGCTGATTGAACAGATGGGGTCCTGTTTCTTGTGCCCTGCATCACACTTCTGCTAGGGGTCAGCAAGCCAAGAACTCATTTGTAGAACAAATTTTCAATACTACTATTAAGGACATAAAGTCATGTGAGTCATGGATTTTATTTTCATTTAGTGAAAGGAGATCGATGCACATAAAAAGTTCAATGCTTCTAGAATGCTCTGTACTTTATTAGAGACAGGCAACTAAACAGTGTTGACTTCAGTGTTCAGCACAACACTGGTCACTTCTAGGATTGTTATTGCATAAGTCATAGGACAACCAAACATAGAAATATGTCACACACCAGAAGGACAATTCAAGGAAGGGACCTTAGACATCATCTTCATCCTCATGTAAGCGTGCAGAGTCAGAGCTGAGGTCTGCAGAGGTTACAGACAAGCTTGAGGCCACAGAACTTCTGGGTGACAGAGCTTTGATTGCATGTATTTTTCTTAATTGCACTTCCAGTGCTCCTGTTCAAGCTCACAGGTAAGAGCATTTCCTCCTTAGTGTCCCTTGTGTGCCCACAGATCCCCTGGGCTTGTGACAGATGCATATTTTCTTCCCCATGAGGGTTGCCACTGGCTGGCCACCTGCATATGGGCAAGTCTCAGAACTTCTCTAGATTTCAGACACCTCATCTGCAAAGAGAGGTAACTGGAGCTTTCTATTACTCGGCGCGTTTGATCAAAGTACCTCCAGAGCAGAACAGACGATGTGACTCCAGGTAAGGTTTGGAGGTGTAACTTTGCAAACAAGATGTGCACTTGAAGTATCATGAGTCGTTTGTCCTAATAATTTGTGTAGTTTCTGAGTTAATCATACATTAATGTAGGTAAGTATGATTAATATATTAATAATAATTCTGTTTGTTTTAATGTGAACATAATGTTTGAAATGTCTCATCAACAATGAAAGTTGATTTGTCAAATAGGGCTTGTTTATCCTGAGATCAGGGACTGGAAGATTTACTAGGCCACTGCTTCCTCAGCGATGTCACATTGTATGTCTGTTTCTATTTTGCCACATTTTTCTATCCTGGGTACCAGAATATGAACTGTTCTCCTACGGCAGGATCCGATGGCCCTCAAAATTGCCTGCCTACTGGAAGATGGAAGAGGAGGTGGGAGAGTAAGAGAGCCCCTCCAGCAAAAATTAGTACCATAAGCACAGTCTAGAAAGGGATACAGATAGTTAGCAGATGGAAATAGGAGGGCTGGCTTTCTAGAAAATTCTAGGGAGTAACTTACCAATCTGGTCTCTGTCTAAAGTATATCTGTTTTGGTGTCCAGCCAAATTTTGATCCTTTGCCTTAAATCTTCTTCTTGTTCTTTTTTTTAAAGAGGTAAGTTATGAATAAATATTTGGATTTAGAAGGAATTAGTTTAAACATCTCTGAAAAATGTAACATTACCTCTTGCTCAGATGCAAATCTTTTGTGCACCTAAGAGTGCTTTTTCCCTCTCTCTGGAGTCAACACCAAAGCAAATGCCTGCCTTGGCTTTACCAAGCCCTCTGATTATGGCTCCCCTCACCTTCTGGGATTGTGGGGTGACTTGGGGTAGAAAGGATAAAGCTGGGGGTACAAAGAAGTCATGATGATTCTCACCCAGTCCCTGGGCAGTTATCAGCAAAGAGAGGGAGGTCAGCCAAATTCCTCATCTGCTTCAGCAGCAGAGGCATCCTCCCCAGTGATTTCTCCAGATGGGAAAGCACTCAGAGCTTCTGACCGTTTCCCAGAGGACTAAGTGAGTTTGATGAGAAGAGACTTCTGCTCTTCAAAGCAACTTAGCATGCATGAATCAGGCCATTCCTCGGGCTTTTAAGGCATCCTGCACATAGTAGGGATGTGATGACAATTTTTCAGATACAGAAATCAGTACCAATCTTCCACCAGAGAAGAAATGTCTAGAGACTTATGAAAAGGAATGGTCCATCACAGTCCAGTATCTCCATTTTGATTAGCTTTCAATCTTATATTTAGAGAATAACAATTTTAGATTAACCTCAGAGGTTATAAAGTTTTGTCTAACCTAATCATTTCAATGTTGTCTGTGTATTAGAATCATCTGCAAGATTTTTAAAATTACTAATGCCAAGGCCCTACTCCAGAGGGACTGAATCAAAACACTGACTCCCACCCTGCAACCTGCATTGGTTGTTTGTTTGTTTGCTTGTTTGTTTGTTTTTTAAAGTCCTCTGGTATTTGTGATCCACAATGAGACTGAGGATGACTGGACTGGTCTGGTTGGGCAGGTAGGGTAGTTTACCCAGCATCCTACTCGGCTGGTGCAGAGCTCCCCACGTCTCCCCACCCAGCCCTGTGCTCTTTCCCACAGACCACATCAGTTCTCCATTAGCCCTATTGCCCGTGGGATAAGTTATACTTTTCCACTGGGAAAAGGGAGTAGTAGTTGACCCCACTCACCCCCTAGAAACAAGTGCTTCAGCACCATGGGAATTTTCCTGGTCCTATATGTGGAAGTGGTCCAACCCAGGATGTTTTTTCAGGAAAGAATATTATGAGCAGGAGCACTTTGGTAACTGCCTATAAGTATGGGAAGATTCTAGCCCCAAAATATCCCCTTTTCTTCCAGTTACTTGTGCTGAAAGGCATCTTTTGGAGGGTGAAGACACACAACTTCTTGGAATATACACACTTTGTAACTAACTCTTCTCCTTTCTGGGCCAAATGAAAATGAAGATTTAAGTGCCTAGCACAGTGCTTGGCCTTAGTATTTTACAATACTTGCATGGTAGATATTATCTCTGCATTGAAATTAAGCCTGAGATTCTAGTTATGATGTCTAATTATGATGTCTAATTAAACTGAAGATCCCATGAGCTGCCTCACCCTTTCTCCTTCCGTACACGTATGAGGGAAGTGGTGGCTCTGGGAGGGGAGGTGAGTGTCTCTCGGAGTGTGCAATATATTCAGCGGTCCATCAAAGATTCACAGCTTGTCAGCAATTGATGCATTGGTTCCTCTCAAAACTGAAAAAGAAAAGAAAGGTGTTTAACCATCTTGATTTGGTGTTCAAATCCTGATCTGAACATATTTGTGGGTGGAAAAGTTACTTAACATGCAAGAGGTCCACATTCAGAGGGAAAAGAGAAAGACAGAAAGAAAGAAAAGAAAGAAAGAAAGAAAGAAAGAAAGAAAGAAAGAAAGAAAGAAAGAAAGAAAGGGAGGAAGGAAGGAAGGAAGAAAGAAAAAAGAAAGAAAGAAACTAAAGAAAGAAGAGACGGGCAGGGAAAGGGAGAGGAAAGAAGGATGCAAGGGAGGAAGAAAGTAAAGAAATCAACAGGAAAAGACAAGGGAGGCGGAAAGAAGAAGGGGGCGCAGTGCACTGGAGAGAGCAGACAGGAGGTGAGAGGGGCTGGCAGGGAGAAAGCCCTGCAGAGGCCGAGCATCCCCTTTCTCAAAAGTCAGCAGAAGACCAGGACCTGCTGAAGGAAGAAGGAGAAGGACTGGGACAGGGGCAGAGAGAAGGAGGAAGGTTCTGAGTGAGAGTCCTACAGAAAGCAGGACAGAGGAAGAGCTAAATTTGTTCCTGAGCAATTCAAGGACAAGAAAGAGGCGGGAAGCAAAAGCAAATGGCAGAGGATGGAGGACGCCGAACGGCTTCCCCAGAGGACTGAATTAAAGAGTGGCACAGATATCAAAGGCCCGGAGAGGGTCCTTTTCACCAGAAGAATGTACATCTTTGAAGTGCCCTCCCAAAGAAGGTATGTCGTGGACCATCACCTTTGTAGAAAGGAGAAGGAAAGAACTGGACAAAGTGGATCAAAGGAAGTAATAAGTCTGTGACCCACGCCTGAAACAAAGCATATGTAGCTTAATTAATGCATTTAGCTACCTGACCAGAAGAGCCGCAGATCCAAGCCCACCTACGGAGCCTCATCCAATTCAGATGAGTGCCCTTTGAGGATGAAAAGCACTTTTAAGTGCTGACTCTAACCTTGACCATGTATGCTGTTAGTTCCATGGGGAAAGAAAAAAAATAACATTAACTGTGTTGTAACACTTAAGACTGCGTCTTCGGAGGCAGTGAACTTTAAACACCGCTAGGCATACAGAAAGAAATGAAGACAAGCGTGATGGGCAGGAAGGAGGTAGACAGGCCGAGGCAGGGCCAATAGGGTGGGTCTCTGAAGCCCAAGGCGAGGCTTGGACGGGAAGGAAAAGGCAGGGCTGAGTGGGAGGAGGTGGGAATAGTGGTAGAGCCGGTAGTTAGAATGCACAATGCCACACGGACGGATGGACGGACGGACGGCTCTGCGGAGAGCAACCTGAAGTTACTCGAGAGTGACCAGGAGAGAAGAACGGAATGGTGACACCCTGCAGTAGACGTCCGTCCTTAAGTTTGTAAAGAGGGAATTGAAAAGCATCAAGTCCTCACTATCGGCCTGGGAAAACAATGAAAGACAATGTAAGTGAGCTTCTCTGGAAAAGCAGGAGGCCCTCTGCGCATTGAACTCTTTCTGCTTCTCTCCTCTCTGTCTCTGTCTCTGTTTCCCTCCCCTCCCCTTCCCTCCCCTCCCCTCCCCTCCCCTCCCCTCCCCTCCCCTCCCCTCCTCTCCTCTCCTCTCCTCTCTTCTCTCCCTCCCCTCTCTCTTTCTCTTCTTCCCTCCTCCCTTTCTTCTCTCTTCCTCTCAAAGTTAGCTAAAATGGCAAAGGCGATGACAAACTGCAAAGGCTGTCACACTAAACTAAGTGGAGGCCTGCTAAACCCGCTCACAGGAAGCCTGGGGATTTGGTGTTTTCATGGAGGGTGATGGCCAAGCCGCAGCAATGAAGGGCAGGAGTGGCTTTCCTGCATTTGAGAGAAACACTTCTGTCATTCCATCGATTCAAGAACATCAGGTAAATTTCTGAAGTTTCTGAATTTCAGGAGCCCTTAACAGCCCTCTACTGCTGCAGAGGCAGGAAGAGGCTACACTGCTTGGCAGAAAGAACACAGAACTTGGAGCCCAAAGGCCGCTTGATTTGCTCCTTCTGGGTTATCCAGCCTTGACCTGTCGCTTGACTCTGCATTTCCATTTTCCTTGTTTGTGTCAGGACTGGAGAATCATAAAGACTAGGCTCTAAACATCTACTTTTCTAAATTGGTCTTTTCTCAGGACATTAATAGTAGAAGTTCTGAGATGTGGCATTTTCATTATCTCCTGATATCTGTTTCATTGGTTCCTTTTGAATGCAGGAGAAATGCCATTGGTGATGCTTAAGCTTTCTTTGTACTGGCTTCCCAGTTAAGACATAGTCAAGTTGTCTATTTCTTTCCAGGCAGCCCCAGGATAACTTCCTGGAGGGAAGTAAGCTTCAAGCCACTCTCCCTTTGCTTCTACTTCCCAGGAGCCCCTAGGCCACCTGTCCCTGGTTAGTTGGGCATATGTACTGGGACAAGAACAAGTATGATGGGGCTGAGAGGTGGTTGCCAGTCTCGATCATCCCAGGCACTAACCACCTGAATGGGACAGGTAGTTTGTGCTTCTTGAGCCTCAGTTTCCTCATTCGTGAAATGGGACTAACAATTATGTTTAATAGAATTATGAACATTAAATAAATAATATATGGAAAATCCTTAGCATTGTATCTGATACACAGTGAAAGCAACATATATATATAAACTATTATTATAATGTCATTGTCATTAATACAACTATCAGAAACTTATGAATAGCCTCAAATTAAATCTGGCTCATTGCTCTTGTGGTTTTTAACTCAGATTTTTTCCCTTTCACTTTCTGATCCTGATTGCTAGTTAGATTTTTTCTTTCAAAAGTCTAACAAGCTGAATATTGTTAATAACATTTAATGTGGGAGGATTCTGTGTATTTTTTTTAACACTTTAACTAATTCCACCTACCTATCTGTTGGGGTCTTCAAGGTCAATTAGGAACAGCTTTGTACTTGGAGAGAGTTGGTTAATCACGATGTAGAATGTTGGAAGAAAGCTTCTCAAATGCTTTTCATCTTAGTATCCAATTCCCAGGAAGCCTGGGTAAAACAATTTTACTTGTCTAAGGCCACCTACAGTATTAGGTAATTATTAGAGCTGATTGCATATCAGAGCCTAAGTACAGTGCTGTGGAACTGTACTTCACTCATGCTCCCTCACGGCAAATGAATCGGAGACATTGCCATGTATTTTTGAAGAGTAAATCTTTGTGCTAATTAATTATATCAATATCAACATGTTGATATTGATAGTAGATGACACTGATATAATTAGCACAAATATTTACTCTTCAAAAGTAAGTGGCAGTGCATATGCATATAATAACCTTAATAATAATACTGAGTGGTTACAGTGCCACTTTCTCTGAGGAGCTTATAAAATACATAAACGCAAATAACTGAAATTCAGACTTCATTGAGGGCTTTGATAGTGTCGTTGAGCAAGGTTGAAGAGGTTTATGCAGTCACAGAAACCTAGTAAATATATCCTGATGGGGGTATTTTTCCCCAAACAGAAATAATTTCTAAGCAGCTACACATAGGCGAAAAATTAAGAGATGTGCTCAATTATATACCTGTGTACATTGCTTAGTGACAGAGATCTGTTCTGAGAAATACGCCTTTAGCTGAATTCATTATTTGCAAACATCATAGAGTGTGATTACACAAGCTGAGACAACTGTTATATCACCAGGTGTTAAGATCTTATGGGAGCACCTTCATATACGTAAATGACCAAAATATCATTATGTGGAATGTAACTGTATATGACATTGAGATTGAATAGGAATCCTTCTCATCCTTTACTTGAATCCATGTCCAACTACCCTAAAAACACAATTATTCCCTTTTAAATCCAAATAGAATTAAATAAAAGCAGAAAGGTTAGAAAACAAGACAAAGAAATAGATATTGAAGTCTCCACGTCCCCAGAATCACTCTGTCAAAAGACCATGGTCACCAACTCTACCGGTGAGTCAGCTCTCTTTTGTTTCATGATGTGGATTCCACATGCTGTCACACAACTGTGGTAGAAAGCGGGATCTGGAGAAGATGTATGTGATACCAGGAGAAGGAAGGTGGCATGGTGCCTAATGGTTCTACTGGCACTCTGCTGTCAGGAGCTGATGGGGACCAACTTCCCCACTGTGTTTGTGATGGGTGATATTAATCTCAACCAATTCCTTATTTCTTCATTTCTGAGTACAAGCTAATCCATTTTTACATTTTCTTACCATAACAGCTATAGTTATAGCCACCACAGTTTTGAAGCCATCATAGTTCGTAAATACATATGGGACTTGTATGTAGAGCTTGTCATTTGTATATCTATATACATATGTGGTTATAGAAGCACACACACATATGTGCACATACAAACACAAGTAACACACAGAACACAAAATACAACTGTGAGTTCTAATGAATCCTCTGATTAGTATGAAAAACACAGGTCAAAAGAGTCAAAATAAATTACATCTTACAAAACACTGACCTCCTGGGAAACACTTGAAAAGTAAGCATGGTTTTATGGACTGACAGCAAGGAGCGTTAGTTATTTTCACCCTTCTTTCCTCTGTGCATTGACTCCTATAATAGAGCATCCCAGATGTTTCACTTCTTAGGGCCTCTTTGGACGAGTAGATTGCACAGCAGGAGGCAACATCTGGGGGAAATAGGAGCAATTGTGAGAGAGCCTTGGAATATTGGTGTGTGTCTGGCTGTTATTCCTGAATGTGTTTCAGAAATTTTTTAAAAAGGCAGCCGTCATTATCATTTATAATTTCCGGGCACAATACCAGAAGAGTATGTCAATATTTCTTCTGGAGGTTTTAATTTTTGATTTTCCCGGGGAAAAAAAAAGAGATTTTCCTTGCATTCATGAGGCTTTAGAATTTTGGCTGCAAACTGACCTTCCACACCTTACCAGATCATATTGTTTTGCCACTTTTTAATATGCAAAACTGCTTTAGTTCATCAGTGAAGGACTTTCATTGTTATCTTGGTGAAATTAGAAAGTTGTATCATTTCATGAACATCACTGCATAGACAGTGCACGGGTCAGGGATTGAGGTTCAATCCTGATGCTTCTGATTGTCTCATTCTATTTTGACATCATAATTGAGACTAATCTCCACCAATTTTGCCCTTACATTCTTTTTTTGTGAATCTAATCTTCCATAACAATTTGGAAATAACAGCACTGGAATGGCGATGTTCTCAGAGACACACTGGAACCATTTTGCGTTGCAGCCTGAGTTCTTGATGTTTTTCCTGAGCAGGTATCCAAAGGCACACACGGAAATCATTTTGCCAGCATAATCTTGCCTTTTAATAGCTTCCTAACAGGGTATCTGAAGAAACACTCTGGAAACATTTTGCCCTCCTAATTTCATGTTGTAATGACATGAAAATGTCATAAAGCAATTACCATGCTAAGCATAAAATGATCTTTAGAAGTTACTTTCTCCATAGGCTCATTAACATCTTTCTAGCTTTAATATCTTGATTGTTTAAAAAAAGATTTAATACTAATTGAGAGACTTCATTTAAAACTGAATGCCATTTATTAAGCCCAATCTCTCTCTCTCTCTCTGTCTCTCTCTCTTTCTCTCCCTCCGTGTGTGTGTGTGTGTGTGTGTGTGTGTGTGTGTGTGTCTTCCAGTGTGTCTTTCTCTGTCTGTGTCTCTTTGTCTGTCCGTGTCTCTGCCTGTCTCCCTCTGTCTCTCCCTGACTCTTTGTCTCTCTCTCCCATTACAATAGACCGACAGAACCCTAGATTTATAGATATGCACACACCTTCTGACCTCGCTGGTTTACATTTTAAGTGGAATTGATCTGGTATGAAGCAAAAATCAGGACAATGCTTGAATTGCTTTGGGGACAAAGGAAATAATTGTCGCTGTCCTTGGAGCAGGCACATCCCCAAATTTCTGCAGGCCTGAACCATGTGAAACAAGGTACACAGCGGGATTGGGGGGACTGGAGGAAATGTGAGATGCTGGAGGAAATGTGAGATGCTTAGCTGGAGAAGCTCTCCATATCAACACAATCAATAGAATGCAACTTTCACCACCCCTAATGAGTGAGACTTGCCACGTGCATTTCTCCAAATGAGAAACCTACATCAAAGGGACAATGACTGATTGGGTTCCGTCATCCTGTGATGTGGGCTGTGCTTTGTAGCTATACCTTCCTGAATCATCTGTAGGCAGAGTTCAAGTTTATACTTTTTTCTGGGCCATCTGAAATAAATAAGGAATGGCAACTAATCTTAACAACCTCTCCTAAAATAAACATAGGTGCCAATTTGCTTGCCCCCTATGTGCCAGGTAATATTCATAACTTAACCTCTAACTCTCTGCACACATTCTTATCTGGATAATGGAAAGGAGGGAAATGAGCTCAACTAATTTGCACAGAACAACACCAAGGATGTCATGGCTTTTCTACTCAATTCCAGAGATAAGACAGCCCCTGACTTTTCCTATAGACTCTTCTTGGACTAAATAGCACAGCTATGTTCTTGCCAATTTTTTTCCTATTTTACATTTACTCGAAGATGACCTATAGAGCTGCTAGTACAACTGGGTCATTTGTTGGTAGTAAAGAGGCAGAATGATTGGTTCTGACGTTTGAAAATACAGCTAAAATTGGGAGGAGCTATTTGGTTGGTAATAAATAACAAGAAAGATATATGAATAAAAATAAGCATCTTAATGATTTACCATCGCTATGAAACCAATAGGCTGGTGATCCAATCCGATATTCGCAAATTTGTATAATCCTCAGGGTAAAACAATTTAATGGGCTGTCTCTTTTATAGTTACAAAAGGCCTTTCATGTGATCAATTATACATAAGAGTACAATAAATGTAACTTTCTTCATACTAATCACATCTAACTTAAATTCTCTTGTTGGTCTTTGGAGTATATGTAGCATTCCCGATAAAGTTTTTAGTTTCAACTCTTACCAAAAGTTAATCTGCCCAGAACTTCCAAATAAATCTTCAGTCTGTGGGCTTTCTTCTTCTTCTTCTTTTTTTCACACTAAATAAAACCATTCAAACAATACAGTTTGTTAGAAAACTGCCACCTCCTCCTGTTTGGGCCCTTCCTTAACACAATCCTGCTGCTTCAGCCTGCGAGTGGGCAGTGGGGGGTTGGTTTGATTGTTTTTCTTCTGTTTGGTTTCTGTTTGTGTTTTGTTGAAAAGGCAGCCTAACACTGTGTTAACACCGTCACCTGAGGCTAACAAAACTTGGCTAGGAGAAAGAGATTTCAGATCCTCACTCCAGCGACAAGTCCCAAGAGGCCCTCAGACCCTCCCAGACTCCTATAAAATCAAAATTCCCTTCTGTTTTATTATATGTTTAATTGGTTTGCTCCTCAATGGAACAGAAAAGTAAAATGAAACCCCTCATCATGTGCCACTTAAGCGAGGGGCAAAGGTCACACCGACTCTAAAAGTCCCCTGGAAAATAAGGAGTGACTAAATCCCCCTAATTGCCTTAGCCAATCAGTTGATGCCTGACTATAAGTTAGTTGAGCTCAATATATTTTCAGTCTCTACTGAGTACCAGAAACAGTTCTGTGAGCTCTAGATGCAGTTCAAGTAAGTGTGAAACCTGGATTTGCTTCAAAAAGTGGAATGAAATTTAAGACACTCTCTTTTTCCTATACAAGCAATGTACACAATACGTGTCAAGATAGGAAGTAAACCACAGCCTAAAAGATAGGACCAGAGAAAAGACTAGAGAAAGGCAGTGGATGCTTGTCTGCAAGCTTCCGAGAAGAACATGATAGATTTCTGTGAAAGGAGATTTCTTAAGGTCCCAGATGAGAGATTACTTAGTCTCTTGAGGATCCATTTTGGGCCTGCACATCCTGAGAAAGTTACACGTGTGTGAAAATTGTAGGAAAATTCAGACTTAGTCACTGCAGTAAAAGGTAAGAGCATTTATGTGTTTGTGTGTGTGATTTGGCCTAGAGTGCCTAAGAAAATATTGTGTGCAGGCTCACTTGTTGCAGCCTGCTCGCATGATTTCAGCTTTTCTTTGCTAAAGAAATCAGGCTGCCAGCACAGTGCAGTAAATTGGAAAAATGAACTGGAACATCATAATTGTTTCAGCTATAGCAAAGAAACAGACATCTGGTAGACCACTTGGAAGCCAGCCAATGATGAAGACTTCAATTAAAATAAAGAACATGTCCTCAGGAGAGCATCTCTGAGCTCAAGAAGTTGTAAGTCCAATGTGCTACTTGAAAGCCAACTACTAGAAAAAGTCATTTTCAAATAAAGCAAGACAGAGAGAGCAAGCTAAGAATTCTTTCAAGAAACCTTTTCTTGAATATAGTTTTCTAATTAACGAGTTAGTGGGAGTTGGTGGTGCTACTACTCAGGTAGGGAAGTAGGCTGTCATATAGGAAGAGGAACTGTGGGTTTGCTTTAAGTTTTCTGAGGAAACTCAAGTGTTAGCACAAGTTTATAGAGGGCATCAGGGTCAGGAGTGTGCTGGTCCATGAGTCAGGAGACTTGGATTCTATTTTCAACACTTACCTGTGAGCTTCAGACAAGAGACTTCATCCTTGTGGGTCTCAATTTCCCCACTGAGAAAAGAGAATACTGAAACCCACCTAACCTTATAGAAATAAAGGGAAGAATACATGAAATACTCTGTATGAAGACACTTAATGCTGTGCCTGACATAAAGTATACTTGTACCATGCTAGTTAAATAGCATAAAGCAGCGAAAAGAAAAAATCATCTTGGTTAAAAATTATGTATTAAATTTCATATTTGAGAGGTGGAGTCTGATATAAGCAGCAGTGTGAAGTTAACTCCCTGAACTACAAGATTCCTGAAAGAAGAATCATGTGACTCGACAGATTAAAAAAAATTATAGAGTCCAAAAAACCATCTCATATTCTAAACATAGAAACAACAGCAAGATCAATGAAATTCCACTCAAGAAAAAGAATCAGGCTCAGTGGCTACAAATGTAATTAGCATTCCTAAGCCTGAAGTTTCATAGAAATTCTCAATAGGATGCAGTCTGTTTGCTAGTTGCTTGGTATGTCGATTACTGAGTGCATTATTAAGTACTACTTTTGACAGCAAATTTCTAACAAGATTATTTATACATTGTAAGTGTCCTATTTTTCTCTCATTGTTGAGAAAAAATACCTGATGCCAAAAGTGAAACAAGGGAAGGTTTATTTCTTACAGTTTTGGGAGTTTTAGTCTATACTCAGCTGGCTCCAAAGCAGGGTGGTGTAGTGGGGCAGCCATTCATGGCCACCACAAAAAAGCAATAGCAAACAAAGCAAAGAGAGAAGACACGCCTTTATTCTACCCTTACACTGTATGTTGGCTCCACCCCTGGGCAGGTGCAGCACTCACACCACCAACCCTAGTGCTAGACAATGAACCAATCATGAATGCTAGATTTAGTCACATCCATGATTGTGTGGGGCTTGGGGGGGCACCTAGACACAAGCCATAACAATAAGTATTCCCAGAAATTGCCTCATCACCATGAAATTGTAGTATCAAGTTAATTTAAGAGAACTCACATGGATTTTTCTCACAAATCTTTTAGACTTAAAAAAAATTATTTTAATTGATATAAAATTGTATGCAACATGTACCACATACTTTGGAATATATTTATATACACATTGTGGAATGGCTAAGTCCATGAAATTAAGGAATGTATTTTTTTATGTATTTATCATTTTTTGGGGTGAGGACATGGTTCACTCTCAACATTTTTCAAAAATATATTGTAGTGCTATTAACTATAGCCATTATGTTGTATACTGAACTCTTAAATCTATTCCTCCTTGTCTAACTGAAATTTTAAACATTTATACATTTCCTTTCCACCCCTCAACTCCTGGTAATCACTATTCTACCCATGAGTTCAACAGTCCTAGATTTTACATGTAGGTGAAACCATGTGGGATTGTTTATTTGTGCCTGGATTACTCTAACATAATATCTTCCAGATTCATTCATCCTATTGTAAATGATGTAATTTCACTCCTTTTAAGATTGAACAGCATCCGGTTATGTATATATGCCACCGTTTCTCTGTTTCTTCATCTCCTGATAGATACTTAGGTTAATTTTATATCTTGGCTCTCCTGAATACTGCTGCGATGAAGATAGGAGTCAATATCTCTTTACCATACTGGTTTTGTTTCCCTTGGACATAGACTGATTAGCCGAACTGCTGGATCACATATAATCCTATTTTGAATTATTTTTAGAAACCTACACTATGGTTCCCATAGTAATCAACATGCCCACCAACAGTGAGGAAGGGGTTCTTTTGTCTTCCTATCTCATCATTTGAGTGAGCTGATACCTCACAGAGGTTTTGATTTGTATTTCTCTGATTAGTGATAATGAACAACTTTTCATATATTTATTGGCCATCTGTATGTCTTCTTTTGAGAAAATTTTATTTTTGTCCTGCCTATTTTTAACGTAGTTGAGTCCCTGTTACTAAGTTTCTTGAATTCCTAATATTGCTTGTATATTAGTCTCCTCATCATGTATCTGGTTTACAAATATTTTCTCCCATTTCATAGGTTGGCTGTATCCTTGGGGGTGCAGAAGCTTTTTAGTTTGATGTAATTCCATTCATCTGTGTTTGCTCTTGTATCCTGTTCCGTGGCTTCATATTCAAAAATCCATACTCAATGCAATGTCACATAGTTTTTCTTTGTTTACCCTCATAATACGATGAATGCCCTCATATTATGTTTATTTCTAGTAGTTTTACAATTCAAGTTTTAGTTTTAAGCTTTTAATCCTCTTTGAGTTGATTTTTATATGTGGCATAACGTGAAGGTAAAATTTCATTCTTTTACATGTGGATTTCTTTTTGTCTCAACACAATTTATTGAAGAGAATATCTTTTTCTCAAAATTTTCTTAGCAACTTTGTTGCAAATCAATTGCTGGTAAGGGTGGGATTTTTTTCTGGGCTCTCTCTTCTGTTCCTTTGGTGAATATGTCCCTTTTTATCTAGTACCATTTTGTATTAATCACTGTAACTCTGTAGTGTATTCTGAATGAAGTCAGATAATGTGGTGCCTCTAGCTATGTTCTTTTTGCTGAAGATTACTTTGGTTATTTAAGGTCTTTTCTGGTTCCATACAAATTTTAGGTCTGTGTTTTCTATTTCTATGAAAAATGTTACCAGAATTTTGATAGAGGTTACACTGAACCTATAAATCACTTTAAATAGTATGGACTTTTTTACATTAGCAATTGCAAGTACATGTATATGGGATATTTTTCTATTTATTTGTGTCTTTAATTTTTCATCTACTTTTTCTGGTCTCATTGTACAAATCTTCCATCTCTTTAGCTAAATTTATTCCTAGGTATTATGCCCCTACCCTTTGAAAAGATAATTCTTGAATGACCCTTGATTAATAACTTAGCATTTATTGAACCTTTCTTACTCATTAGGCTGCAACAAAACCCAACTCTGCTGAATCCTTTGTCTTACTTTATGAAAGCATTTTATAATTAATTTGTGCATGTATCCTTCTCTTTAGCTGGCCTCGAGGGTTTCGAGAGAAGTGGTTCTCCATTACTCCTGTTTAAGTCCTCAGCTTCCATCACTGAGGCTGGTACATGGAATATGCTATAAAAATCTTTTCAATAAATGAGTGAAAGAATTCACTAGGCGCAATGCCTTGTGGGAGTGAGGCATACAAGTGCTGGGAGCAGTAGTGCATACCCATTGGGAAAGGTGATAAGATGAAACTTAACAAGTAGTAGGTTCCAGACACAGCCCTTGCTTTATACTTCAGAACTCAGACTGGAAAGACTTGGACTTACCATGTCAATTCCAGGAAATTTCTTCTTTGGGCTGTTAACCCCTGGAAAGCTAAATTTCACTAGTAAACACCATCTTTCTACTGAGAAATTGATGGATGAATTCTGAAATGAAGAAGGACAAACAACAACTTCCAAAACTAATGACTGCAGATTACAATAGAAGAAATTCCCCAGCCCCTGCTAACAGAGGCAGCTTAACCCCCCACAGATGTGCAGGAATAATGCCTTTGCTCTCTGGAGACAAGTCAAAGGGATCTGAAAATCTTTCAGGGCTTGAGAAGCGTGAGTAGGTTTTCTGCACAGCCAACAGATATGCAGATTCCAGGAGAAATTGAGTCTCTGCCAGAGAATCAGGCCTAAAAAAGAAAATCTCAAAAATAATGGGAGAGAAGAAAGCAAAACCAAAGCACAAATAAATAGCAGAGAAAAAATAGAAATACTTTTTGGTTGGCCTTCTAAATACTGAATATAGTTGTGAGGAAGAAGAAGCCGGGAATGTTCATTGGATAAGATCTACCATAACATGTCTCTTTTTGAAATTTTTCATTTGATTTTTAATGGAGAGGAGCACAGGACAGAGAGAGGGTCAAAAGAAAAATATTTGCATCGCACTGATTTCCTCCTAAAGCTCTGACATCCATCTTCATTTCAAAGGAGGCATTTGCTCAAATCCCTTTTTTACAAGAGGAAAAATCCAAAAGACAATAGAGACATTATCCACTCTGTGGCCTTTGACAGCTAAAGATCATAGAAATCCACAACCTTTCCTGTTGGCCAAATCGGTTCCTCATCCTGGAAGTGAGCAGGAATGTCAGGAGGAAGGAGGAGTGAAGGTTTTTCTAAATTATCTCATTATCATGCCACTTGAGTAATCGCTATGAAAGTGAGGCTCCACAGATGCTTCTTCCAGCACACACGGAAATCATCTTCAGGACATCTCAAGGGAGCATGAGAAATTTTTCGCTAATGGACTTTCATTTTCCACACTATATTTTGTCTTATGACCACACCAGCTGTAGTATGGGATAATGGAAAAGAGTGACACAGTGCTGGGATCTAATTCCAACTTTACCCTTCAATGCTGGCCCCACCTGGGATAAGCTGGTTACCTTCTCTCTGAGACTATTCAACCTTTTTGAAGAAAAGAGATTGTGTTACAGCTCTCAAGGTTTGCCTAGAGGACTGAATAAGCAAGTCTATGTGAAAGTGCTTTGTATCTGGTGAAAACCTAGTATTCTTTGATGTTCTTGTTCCGAAACAAACCACTCATCCATTCAAACTTCTCAGGCTTAGTCTCTTGATTCTTCATTCTTCTCGTCTTCAAAGTAGTTTATTCAATACTATATAATAATGATCACCTAGCCCATAATGCCTGATACCATGTCCATTGTCTAAAATATCTATTAAATTCGTGAGCTCCTAAATTATCATCTAAGTATGGCAAAACTATACCCATAATGACATCCTGCTACTTTTGATAGCTTAAAAAAGTGTTACTATATATTTTATAAGTTTGTATTGTCATTATTACTTTTGTACCTAGATCTTGTAACCCGAACAACTACTTATAAGATAATAATATGCAATATATTAACTAGTGTAAATTTCCTACTGTTTTCACAATTCTGTATCATTTCTATCCTCTTTTTTTGTTTTGCTTTTTAAAATAAAATTTATACAACAACATAATTTAAGTGAAATATTATTCTCAAGTACGTGTTACATGTCATTCTAACAGTGATCACAAATAATAATAGCTAATGTTTTTAGGTGCTTACAATCTCTCTAACGTCCTACTGTACATTTTTACTTGGGCTTCTCAGGTTTTCCACCTTGTATGGGAAATTGAGGTTGAAAAAAGAAAGAGACTTGCTTGAGGCTATACAGCTCCTAAGTAGCAGAGCTGTGATTCTGATTTAGGTCTAACTCCAAAATGTATCTTTAGCCACAATATCTTGCTGCTTTAATAGAAACTGAAGTTGTCAGGTAATATTATCAGAACATGGATGTTCCCGCCGCCATCAAATGAACCTGGAGATAAAGGGTGGTCTTAAAACAGATAGTATGTACTTTGCCTCTTTTAAATTTGGAGGCTGTGAACCCCACCTTTCAATCTGCCTCCTGTAAATGAATGATGGTGAACCTTTCGGAGACAAACTACAACCCAAAACTCACTTATCTCAGAGTGCCAACACTGAAATTAAACCTGAATACTGAGGTTTTAATTTAGAAAAAACCCAACTCATACATCAACATCTTTTGTCTTAAAAAGAAAAACAAATAATATGAGTGCTATAGGTTTGCTACCACTGTTCTAAAATATTCCCTTTGGTAGGGATATTGGCTGCAATCTGAAGGTGTTTGTGACCTTAGATCCAGCCCAGGATCAGAAACCCAACTCTAGCCACAGGCAATCAACCACTGTAGGATGGGGACTGCATTCTGGGGAACTTGATTTAAGAAGTTATTTAAGCAGTGGCAGAGGTGCAATTCTTATCATCATAATTTCCAGGAGCTGGTGTATGTACTCCTGTTTTTGTTTTTGGTTTTTGGGTACCAAAGATTGAACTCACAACCTTGCGCTTGCCAGGCAGGCACTTAGGCCACTGAGCTAAATTCCTGGCCCATGTAGTCCTGATTTGAAAGTCTCCTTTTTGTCTCTTTATTGAGGTCTAGAATTTCCTTACTAAGAGGAAAGATTTTCAGGCCATGAAATGATTGGTCCCAGAAGAGAGAACTCAAATTTGAATGGAGGTAGAAATGCCCACTGTATTTCTGTACTGGAAAGTTTCATATTGGCAGATGGGGTGGATTTGGGGTGAAAGCAGAAAAGCATACACTGAGAGTAGGCTAGAGGTGTCCCAAATAAATACCCCCATTTGGTCTGCTCAAGCACAGGGCTCATTGCCTTAGACAGTTTCTCATTGCAGAGACACAATACCTGACACCTACAACTTGAAGGAGGAAGTTTAATTTAGCTCATTTTTTTAGTTCACATTTGGCTGGCTCCAAGGTAGGATTGTATGGAACAGGGGCCTGGTGAAAGAACAGTTGCCTCTCTTACAGCAGACAGGAGGCAGAGACAGCAAAGGGAGACACTGTAGGGAGAGACAAATCCTTCCGGTTCACGACCTTAGCGACCACATCTCCTAACAACAAGCCCCCGTCAGCTCTCAAAAGCCCTGCCTATGATCACATCAGGCTTTGGGGGAGTTATCTAAATACAAACTATAATACCCATGGCTAGAGGCAGTTATTACAACACCCCATGTGGATTAATCTTGATTATTAATTTAACTAGATTAAGACACTCCTAAAAGTGATTGGATTCTAAGGGAATTGATGAATTCATAGTGAATAAACTTTTAGAAATTTGGGCCTCGCTGGGGGAGGTGGGTCACTGGAGTGTGACCTCAGGGATTGTGTCTAGTCCCTGACCTCTTCCTCTTGGGTCCTCCCCTGCTTATTGAATTGTAGATGTTCCAACAACTTACTCCCCCAGGCCCTTCCATCATGATGTCTCTGCCTCAGAGACGACCTGAGACTGGAAACCAAAGATAAATGTCTTCCCCTTTAAGTTTTGGTGTTAGGTGTTTTGTCCCAACAATGGAAAATCTATGTAATGCGCTGAGACAAATGGGTGGAATGGAGCCCACTTCTGCTTGCCAGCCTATTGAGCACTAGGAAAATATTTTGTGATCACCAAGTTCATCTCTTCCTCCATCAAATGAATATAATACCTTCTTCTCTTTTAGGCTCATTATGTCAGTAGGACAAAATAAAACAAAGAAAGCATTTAGATCAATAAATGGCAAATAAATGTTACTAATAATAGTTAATACCACTGACGTTCGCTCACTCCTGAAACTTCTCTCATTCAGAATGATTAGGAGAGGAAGTTCATCTTTATGGATTTCAAGAACCAATAAAAGCTCTACACACCAAGCAGAGGAGGAAAACGGATCAGGAGGATGGGAAGGGTGTAGATTCCATTAGGCATTTTGCTTTGATGGCTCTGGGGTTATAGAGGCAGCTGAGACTTCAACAGAGCTTCTTGATGCAGAACACAGAGACCTGAGCATTCCCACCAACAGTTCAGTCTTCTGCTCCCACATGATGCCAGTGTGTTCCTCGCCATCGGGAGGGCTGTAAACACAAGGCCTGAGGGGCTCTTATCAGAGTCCAAGTGTGAATAACCAGTCCTTGGTCCACTTTCTCCAGGCAATGTCAAGCCAGAGGATTCCCTAACTTACTACTGCCTCAGCCCAAGTTCTGAGAAAACAATCAGATGCTTAAAAGCCTATGTCACAACTCAGTGGTTCTTAGGCTCCAATAGTACTAGTTTTTAAAAAGTTGCTCCATCTCAGGATTTTTTGTTTTTTACCAAGTCTTGATTTCCAGAGGTTGAAACACTCCTGTGACACATTCCAGACAGGCTGAAAGTCAAGTGGTGTCTGCCTTACAAATTACCCAGAGTGCCGAGGCAGTTGCACAACCCTAAGCTGATCCTGAGCTCTCCTAGCCATGGTGATGGAAACCAGGGTTCTGTCTGCTTGTGATTACATGTAGTTGATGTCTGAGGGTGCCATGGAGACAGCTGGGCAGCATCTCTAAAGGAATGCGGAGCACGGTGGGGCTTCGGAGTCCAAGATCCAGGAAACTGGGCACTGTCCTCAGGGAGTGGGCACATGTGAGCTGCTTTACTGAGCACCAAGTGCCTTCGCTGGTTCTTCCTGACAGCACTGTTGTCTGTGTTGTTTATCTACAGATAGCTCCATCATCAGCCCAGGAGTTCATGGCGTAGAGCCGGTTGGGAAGCAATTTAGGACTTGTGGTGCTGTGTACCCCTCCCATTCATCCCATTATCCTTCCGGTTTGTAAGGTCCTATCCATACACTCACTACCCACAGTGTTACCCTGATATCACCACTCCCAATGCACCTTCCCAACAGGAAAGAAGGGGCATCCAGGGAGAAACCATGTAGGCCCAGTCCAGTGCTAGGCAAGGCAGGGTATTGTGTAATTTGTCCACTGCTGGAGTTCAGAGCCTGAGAGATGTCTAAACCAGAATGAGTGTTGAAGGCACATTGATTTTCAATACTCACCTGGAAACTCACCACCTGAATGCACACATTCCCCAGAGTGAGGAAGATCAAACCCGAGCTGCATAAATCTGGACCCTATCTACAGTTGTGCACCATCCTGTCACAGGTCATCTTCACTTCAATTGATTACTAGGTGATCATCTTGACAAAGTGAACGATACCACCTTACTGCATGATTGCAGTTTATATCTCAGCAAAAGATCCATGGGTAACTCTCCTTAAAACACCCTTGGAAGTTAGCTACGTCATCACAATCTGGTCTTCATTTGATTATTAAAAAATAAAACAAAACAAAAACTTTTCTCTGTTATACTCTACTCCCCAATCTCTTCACTCAGGAGTCAGAGAACTCCCCACCCCCACTCACCGGGATATAGTTGCTGGAACATTTTTGATCATACTCCTGTGAATTGAAGAGCATGACCTGGTTACCTGGTGGTTACCGGATTGCAAGCCTGGAAACAGACCATGGATGAAGAGTTTTGGAAAATTGGTGGAGGAGGTGCTCAGGGAATGAGGTAAGGAAACAAACTAGGGGAAGGCAGGAAACCAAGTACCAGGTGATCTCAGCCCAGGCCCCACAGAGGATGACTGGCTTGGTATCTCTCAGGGAATCATGGATGCAAAGTTACACATTGCAATTGCACTGCTGTAAAGCTCGGCCTGTCCTACTCTGGAAGAGCAGTGTCCAGGGTGGATAGGAATCTCCAGGCACAACGATCTCCAGGAGAAAGTCATATGCTCTGGTCTTATTTTCCAAAGTTCCATGCTAGGTATATAAAGTTCTCAGCAGCCACAAGAAGATCATTTCTTTAGGTGGAATGTTAGAGAGAGATCCTGTCTCAAAATTCTCCCCTGCTGTTTGCCTAGTTCATTGCTTGAAATCCTATGAGATATTTCTTTGGCCTAGGACTGTGCAGCACGAGTGCCATAGGATCGCTACCACTGGTCTGGTCATTTCCAGCTAAACTATCCTATCTGCAAGAGGTCATCTAAACATCTAATCCCAGGCGGTACTCTTCATGTGGTAGGTTGGGCCAGATGCCCAGAAAAACAGGTTCCTTCATAGACCCACGTGACATAGGGACAGTGTTAAGGAGAGGTGGGAAAGGAAGTTTTCCTGGATGAGATGTGGAGAAGGCAGCCACAAAAGTGGGGTAAAATGTAGATGTCTAATAGGGAATAGGAGGAAGAGGTAGGAGGAAAAGGATTCAGTGAGGAAGCAAGTGAAGCATGCGATAACAGTACCAGAAAGGGACCAGGTCCCCAGTCTATGGAGGGACACCCTATCAGGTATTTCCAAAGTGAGATAATGGGAGACTTGAAGCAGGTATCTTGTGTCCATGGAGACAAGAACACAAAGTAATCAAGCTGGAGTAGAAAGGTGAAGGGACTGGCATCCTTCTTCTCTGGACAGTTTGTCAAGTGAGAACTGTGCTTCTTATTAGGTTAAACAATTATATGTGTAATCTAAATGCCACCTAACAGCTAAGACAGGAAAGGGAACTAAGTATTCATGCTTCAGTTCTTTCTGGGTTCCCTTTCTCTCCTTTCAAGTGGCCCCTCCTTGGGATACACAT